TAAATTCGCTCTCTACAAATTAAAAAAAAGTACCATCTGTGGGCAACGCTGCACAAAGTCGTAGCGAATTTTGCGGTCGATCTAAAGAGCCTGGTCGCTACTTGGGACAAGCTGTGGAAGCCGAGGTGATGCTTGCGTTCTTAGCACCAAAAAATAGTAAAAGCTGTGACGCTGATGACATGCAAATAGGACCAATAAAATACGTGTTATGCATCATATCTCCCTGATCGACGTATATTTTCAATTTGTGCATGCAGGCCGCGGGTTTCCCGCAAAAAATGCAAATCGCAAAAATAAAGGTTTTTTTTTTTTTTTTTTTTTTTTTTTTTACAAAAAGGATTGCAAGAACGTTTTTGGGAATTATAGGCCTATTTCAATCTTATTCGTTTTTTCAAAGGGTTTTGAGAAAATTCTGCTCTCCCGCCGGATGGTGACGTTTGCAAACAAACGATATAATTACTCCGTCGCAATTCGGATTTTGTAAATGCCGCCGGTCTACACAGCTGGCCCTTCTGAAGCAAAAGGAATACGTTTTCCGTAGCTTTGAGGATAAAAAAATAATTATTGGCATTTTCATTGATTTCACGAAAGCCTTTGATTATTTAAACCACGACTTGCTAATAAAGAATCTTGAAAGGTACCGATTTCGCGGACAAGTGTCAGCTATCATTTCATCATATCTTGCTCATCGTAAACAATATGTTCATATCGACGGGTACTTTTCAGATATCCAACCTATCCTGTGCGGCGTTCCACCAGGCAGTATTTTAGGCACTTCGTTGTTCAACTGTTAATGACATCGTGAACGTAGATAAAAATTCCAAATATGTCATCTAACCTGACGATACATGTTTGTTTTCCACAGGTATGTGCTGTCATGACCTAGCACATAGGGCGAATCAAACTCAGCAGAAGTTTAGTAGCTGGAGCCACGCTAAAAAATCAACGCGAGCAAGACTAAGGCTATTTTCTTTCAACCGAAGAATAAAAATGCAGCTATTACAAGAGATATCGTTTTGAATTCGAGAAAAATAGAATATTTGACCAGTTTAAAGATTCTTAGAGTCGCTTTCACGCAACAAATGACTTGGAATAAACATCGAAACCAAAGTTGTTGTTTTTTTTCTACTTTTTTGTATGTATGTGTGTATGTCTGTGGGTGTAGCGGGTACAGCAAGCCTCTAGGCATGGGCAATAGCGTTTTTACTGTCACCCTGGTTTTAGATACCGAATAAAGAATTATTATCTTGATAAAGCTGTCACGTATGATTGGCATAATGTATCGTCACCGCTCTATTTCGCCAAAAAATGCTAAATTGTTAATCTATAACTCGTTATTTCTTATACATATACATTACTGTTACCTCGTCTGGGGAAATACTACAACGGCAAATTCGAACAAACTTATGCTATAAACAAGAAAAAAAAAAAAATACTGCGAATAATATGTAATATATTCTACATGATCACCCTAGTATAGACCTCTGTTCACAAACTTAAATTTAATGCATATTCACAATATCTATAAATATCGATTATGTCTAAGTTATAGGTCTGAAACAAATGTTATCAATCTTAGTGAACTAGCGTCCTTATCACCGAAATTGACAGCATATCGTACTCGTAGCCAAGACGGCTGGGAAGTCCCCACTGCCCAGTTGCAGTACAACCTATGGTGAGCAAACGCTATCCAACGTGCTTCCGACCCTACTCAATTACCTTAACATAATATTTATCCTTCAACACCAACAGTAAAATATATCAGATTTGTTTTCTTGTAGAGTGAATTTGCATAGCAATGACTAGGTAAATATTCAACTCAATGTCCTCATTTATAAGGTGCAGTTCTATCCGTTGAGAATTAATTTAGTGAATGAGACTATAGTATTACATAGTCGTGTTATATATATAAGCCCTTGAATGTGCACTTGTTGCTTTATAGACGCTTTACACACGCGCCAAATTACAGGCGCCATTGCTGACCTTCTCTTGTCTTACCGAAATGCCGAGCAACTGAAACGTAGTTGACGATTTTCTACAAAGGCCGATGCTTTAGAAAAGGACACAGTTGAATCTAATGTGGCAATAATTTGGCCTGCTATGGTAAAGATGAAGTGAAATAAACGAAATAAGAGGAAACAAAAACTAAAGGTCAGTTATGGCGGCGTCCATGCACAGATGCTGCAAAGCGTCTATAGTTATCCGTCTGTTTTGCAATAAAACATTGAAATGTTCTATAGTGAATTATTGACCCGTGTATTTTTTATTTCGTTTGCACAGCTTTTTCCTTCAGTCCCCTTCCATCATACTTGATGGAGAAATATATATTATTATTAACTATACTGTGCAGGCCACGGAGTAGGGAGCCTATCATTGAGATCAGTGGAGCCTACATACTCGCCGACTCCCGGCGAGTATGTAGGCTCCCTAGCCACGGAGGCCTCCTTACCGCCACAGCACTAGCGCCGTCCGCAACAAAAAGTAGTTCTAAACTCTTTTTTTTTTTTTTTTTTTTTAACGGCAATTGAGGTTGCGCGATTTTATTTCTATCGGAACTATGCTACACGACACGGAGGGAAGACAAAAACATGTTTCTTTTCAAAGATACTTCGAATCAAGCCTTTTTTGATAAAAATGTGGCTTTTGAACGACGTTTGAACGAGCGCAGCCCTGTAATCGACCACTTCTGCTCAAAACGTTGTTCTGGCATTAGCACCCGCTACAGATTCGCAGGTAAATTGAGCATGTGGTTGTGTCATGAAGTGTTCCCGAAGAAGTTGATTGGTTTCGCAGCGGACGACTCTTTGCCAGCAGACGACAGCCGCTTCCTGCGGGCCTCACGTTTGGCGCAGTGACACAAACGCTCCCGTGACGTTACGTTCATAGAGTTATCATAATGTACGCTAGAGGTTCAAGTGGCGCTAGTGTGCTGACGCAAATTGAAGCAGACAGCAACCAGTCGAAAATTGACTTCCGGTAATTCATTTCTATGGGAAAAAGTGAGTGAATTTTCTCCCTGCGCTTGATCATAAGAGCAAATATCCCAAATAATTCGTACGTACTATGTACCTTGGAACATTTCTCAGTCAGGCCGACGAAATAATTGGTCAGTCATGGCGTTTTTCTTTCGAATTCATCGCATTAAAAACGGTGCTAAAACGGCTTCGTACGTGTATTCATGTGCACTGTCGGACACTGTTAGCGCGAACGCGGCGTCGGCGATTTCCAGCATGGGGGATATACATGCCAAACGAACGAAGGACATCTGGGAAATGAAGAGCGGCGGCAAGAACTACGCAGTAACACTGGATCAGTAACTCGCAGTGCATGTACGATCAAAATAAATTGAAGGCCACGTAATCTATTCCGATTTTAAATAAGTAAGTATACTAGCTGCTTTATTCTTTCTGCCGTGAGCGAAGCTGCTTGTTCTACGTTGAAAATATCACCCGCGCGCTCGATATCTTTGAGAACAAGTGCGCGATAAAAGCTGCCCGGCAGAGAAAACAATACGAAGAGACACCTTTCATAGCCCACGAACTTTATTCTCTACGTTTTGAAGGTTTTTATCCGCTCATGCACGACGGGATCATTTTCATATAGTGACAGGACTGGCATATTATCAATATACGAGCGTCACCGGAATGCTGGCGAGCCTTGAACACACTCTATATTCGTTTCGATTGTAATTTTGTTTTGAATCGTCGCTTGTTTTTACACACCCGCTGCGGAACACACGTTTGGGACTGAAATGTAGCGAAGTTAAATTTCGTTCACTGATGACGAAAAATGCGCTAACTAAAGCAATTACACTTTTACAGTGTTAATCAAGGTACATGCTATTCGGTACGACCCAAATAACCTAAGTGTTTCGTGTTATTTTCTGGCGAAGAGACAAAATGCACGCGCGTTTTCCCATAGGAATGCACAGGAGCACCGCAAAAGTTGACTGGTTGCTGTCTGCTTCAATTTGCGTCACGGAAGTCGCATAGACACTAGCGCCAGTTGAACCTCTAGCGTACATTATAATAACTCTATGGTTACGTTACGTGCCTCGCTCCTTGGGTCGCGGAAGCCGTAGCCTTCACAGTTCGCCAAGTTATTAGAGGCACTTGTGATGACGTTGGTACCTGGAACGCGTCTCGAACTCATGTGTTTACCGCGCCCAAAAAAGTGGTTCCTCGATTTCCGCCTGATTACGTCATAAAAGTTGCATGCTGTCGCCAGTCGCGATCCTGGCGGCGTCCCAATAGCTGTGGTATATGTGGCAGACGCCTGTTCTGCTGCAGGTCGCTCTTCAGTGTGACAGAGAAGTTGGGACGCCGTGACGACAGCGACACTCGTGTTGTGCTACTCCAAGCTTCTCCATGGCCTTCGTGATCCCGGAACTCGCGCTTCGGGATCTCGGAGGCCATGGCTTCTCTTTAGCATTTCTACGACCAACCGCCAGGATCGCGACTTGCAACAGCATGACAGCATGACACTTCTGCTTCGTTGCCACTTCGGTCTAACTTCGGGACCACTTTTGATGTATGGGCAGCATAGGACGCAAAACACACCTATCGAAAACGGGCTCCAGGCACCGTACACATATACCCATATGTTCCTCGCTCCCACAAGCGTCGCGCGATGTATGATCTCTTTGGCGGTGCCGGCGGTGCGGGGAGTGTTCCACAGAGCCCCGCGGCCCCGCGTTCCAAAAGCCCCTTTTTTTAGGGAGCCTACAGCCTACATACTCGCCGACTCTGTACTTTTTTTTGCTGTAGTGGCGCCATCTCTCGACAAACGTTTTCAACTAATTACATTTTAGAAGTTGAAGTGGTTGTAGAGAATCGAAGTAAACGAAGTTTCACAAAAAGTAATATCAAGCAACATAAAACTTACTAGCGGAAATATTCCAAATAAGGCCGGAAAGATATATTTTTTTTTTGTTCTGGTAGCTGCTTTTCTTCACTGCACGCGAAGCATTCGAAAAAGGCTGGCAACAACAAAGACGCCTCGCCCTTTTTCTTTTTTTTTTTTTTTGTGCGCGCTGCTTGTGCCGTCATTTGCAAAAATAGCTGGCAACCGTGGAGCCGATCAAATGGATCGTTGACATCGCATATTGGATTTTTTCTTTGTTCCGCCGGTACAAGTGTGTAAATAGTTTTGTCTTTGCGTGAGTTGAGCGCGAAAGTTTCTTCGAAGAGGAAGAGTCGACGAGAAGTCTGCCCAAGTCTGGCGGGGACGCTGCACGCGGAGAAGTGAGCCCTAAAAAAAGAAGCGGCGCGGGTAGACTGTGCGGGCGAGCCATCTTGTTTTTTAACGGACCATCACCTTTTTTTTTTTTTTTTTCAAAAATACAAAAAAAGTAATTATCGGCATTTAACGCGTGTGCGAGTCGCGCAAGCTCGCGAGATACGAGTTTTGTGGCGGTACGGACCGGCCTGCAAAAAGTGGTGAAAATTTTTGGCGATGTTTTTTTCTTTTTGTATGTGTTTGCTTTCGGCCACCAGAAGGCCATTTTTTCCAGGCTCCATTCGGCTTTCCTTTCTTGACAGCTGACAGCATTAGGGCAAATTTTTAGGGGTAACGGGGCTGCCCAAAGTTATTTGTGGGCATCCCTGGCCAAACTCGGACTCCGGTGGATCCATGAGAGCGGCGGATCGGCAGGCGGCCCAGCGAAATGAGCAGGTTCTTTTTATTGTTTCCATTTGAAATTTGTTTGTTTGATCGCGTCGGGGCACGGGCGCCCTTTTTTCAAACGGCGTCTGATGGACGGTGTCTGGTGAGGCCTGGTCCTCGTCGGGGTTGATGGAAGGTCGCGCAGAGCCCGGGCGGCCCTTCTCGTGGACTTTAGTAGCCGCAGAGCCTCGTCGCGGGCGCTCTCCCTTTGTCTCGGCCGGGCCGGGGCCGTCGCTCGAGTAGCCGTTCGCGGCAAGATGTAAACAATGGACCCTACCTTCGGTTTCTCATCGGGGCTGCCAACTCAGATTCCGCTCTTCACGTCTGCGCACCGGCTGTTCAACTTCTACAATTTGGAGAAGGAGTCGATGCTCTACGGCGATGGCCCAAGGGAAAACAACGCAACCAATGCCTCCGCTCCCGGTCCCCCTCCGAACGCGCTGTGCGTGGCCAACGCCGGCGGCGCACATCACAGCGGGCACGCGGCCGCAGCAGCCGCGGCCGCAGCCGCCGCCGCGGCCGCGGCCGCCAACAGCGGCAGCGTGCACAGCGTGAGTACGCAGAGCAGCCCCGTGCCGCAGCAGCAGCATCCTCAGCAGCAGCAACAGCAGCCTCAGCAGCAGCAGCCTCAGCAGCAGCAGCAGCAGCAACAGCAGCCTCAGCAGCAGGGAGGCGTCCCGCCGTCGGTGGTAGGTCCGCTACAGCTCGCTCAGCCACAGCCCAAGGCTCCCGCCAAGCGGGGCGAGTTTCCGTGCGAAATATGTGGAAGAGTCTTCACGCAGAAAGGGAATCTGAAGAGTCATATGTACTGTCATTCTGGTGAGAAACCGTACAACTGCGACGTGTGCGGCAAGGGATTCACTCAGAGGTCGAGCTTGGACTACCACCACACGCTGCACCTGGGGGAGAAGCCCTTTGGGTGCGAGGTGTGCGGCAAGCGGTTCACGCAGAAGGGCAACCTCAAGACACACATGAACTCGCACACGGGGGCCCGGCCGTTCCGCTGCGAGATCTGCGGGCGCGGATTCACCCAGAAGGGCAATATGAAGACTCATTTGGCGACCCACTACGGGGAAAAGCCGTACGCGTGCGAGGTGTGCGGCAAGCGGTTCACCCTCAAGGGCAACCTGAAGACCCACGTGATGGCCCACGAGGGCGTCAAGCCCTTTGCCTGCGAGGTGTGCCACAAGAGCTTCTCGCAGAAGCTCAGCCTCGAGTACCACATGAACAGCCACATGGGCCGCAAGCCGTACGCCTGCGAGGTGTGCGGCAAGGGGTTCACCCAGAAGGGCAATATGAAGACTCACATGCGTTCCCACTCGGGCGAGAAGCTTCACACCTGTCAGATCTGCGGCAAGGGGTTCACCCAGAAGGGCAATATGAAGACCCACATGAAGATTCACCTGCGGCCGCCCTCCCTCGACAAGCCCTACTTCTGCGGCATGTGCGGCAAGTCCTTCGTCATGAAGTCCAGTCTCGAGTGCCACATGGCCACCCACGTGCCCAAGAACGGGGCCGCCATAGGCCCCGCGGGGAACCACCCCAGCCACCTGACGCTGGGGCCCAGCCACCTGGCCCTGGGCAGTGCGGCCCAGCAGCCCAGCCACCTGGCCCTGGGCAGCGCGGCCCAGCAGCAGCAGCAGCAACAGCAGCAGCAACAACAACAGCAGCAGCAGCAGCAGCAGCAGCAGCAGGGCTCTCCGGGCAGCCCACCGCCCACCATGGTGCCTCCCCGCAGCCTGACCAACATCCAGGCCAGCATCCAGAGCATGGGGGGCCTCAAGGGCATGATGCAGCAGCAGCCAGGGGCCGGTGGAGGGAGCGGCGCGGCGGGGGCGGGCGGGCCCCCGCAGTCGCAGCAGCAGGGGGTCCCCGCAGCGGGCCCCGGCAACGGCGCGGGCGCCTCGGCCATGTGCGCCATGGGGGGCGCACCCTCGGCCGGCGACAAGCCAACCGTCGTGGTGCCCGGGGGAGCCGTGCTGTCCGCCCTCTGAGCGGTGAGTCCTTCCTCTGGTCTTTTTGAGCCTTCCTGCGGAGGCTGACGTGGCCTGATGCGTCGCATTAGCTGCTTGCCAGACCTTCGTGCGACCTGCACGCCTTGGTTACAGAAAGGCAAGGAAAATAGGTGCTGGTTGGGCCTCGTAGCGCACTCTATGGTAAGGCCTGGGAAACCTATGGTCCGGTAGGACATCATCTCTTGGACATAGTCTCTGGCTGCTGGGTCTGCCTGTCCTGTACTCTGTCTGCAGGCTCTAACGGCTACAAACCTTTAGAGCTTGCCATTGTATAGGGGTACCTAAAACCCTCGGCTCTCCTGAGGAACTGCAGGACTCGTAGGGGCCATGTCCTGGGCCATCAGGTCAGCGAGGGATGGCTTCTGGTGGCAGTATTACAAGAGCTAGTTGCTGCTCGACCTATTTCGTTCTGGGGGACTTGAGAGCCAACACTGCCAAGAGGTAGAGCTTGCATGCAGTTACTGGGAGTGAACAGACTTCAGCAGTGCTTTAGACTCTTGCCACAGGCCCACGTGATGTAGGGGCATCTGCTGTACTGGCAGCCATGCTTGCACCTGACAGTGATGGCATTGGTCCCAGGTTTGGGCCAGTTTTAGCTTGCGGAAGTGTGAACCTTGTTAGGGTGTTCTTCAGCATCTCCTTGGAATAACAAGTGCTGTTTCAAAAGCTTGATGCAAGTGAAGGGGTGGTTTAGGTAAAGTGGACACACTGATATCTGAAATGGATGGGTCAAAGCAGAGCACCATATCTGTATTTTTAGATGTGTCCTTCCGAATGTGTACACTTTGGCAGCTGCTTAGAGAAGAGGGTCCTGTGTACTTTAATCGATAGGGAGGATGGTTCAGGCTTGCTGTGGTAGACTGTCCATGGGTTTGATATTTTACAGTCTTTGCCTTGCCATTTCTAGCAGTACAAAAGGGCCCAGGCATTGTAGCGTACATTTTCACTGAGCAAGCCATGATGGGAGCGGTATTTCCACCTCAGGACCTAGCCTTCGGAGGGTGGAAATTTGGGTTACAGGGTTCACACGAGTCCTTGAAAACACTTTAATTTGAGAACTACATTTTCCAGACCTTGAAAGTCCTGAAATTCCTCGCGGTGCTTTAAAACCCTTCAATTTCCCGATGATAATCAGTTTTTTGTTAACAATAATAGTTTTTTTTTTTCAATAATTAAAGATAATTATTAGTTTTACGTGCATGTTGGCATACATTTCAATATTTCAACGAGAATGTATTCTTAACTGGCACTTTTAAACACATTTAGGAGATGCCTGTTAAAGGGGCCCCTGCAATCGTATTTAAGCATCTACCTTTTTTGTGATTTCCACGTCTCTTGGGGTTCGGGCAAGCCAGCGGGCACGGAGAGAGTAACTAAATATCAGTGCATCATATTTTAACCGGACGACGCGGAAACCTCCTCCACCTACGGGGGCGACCTGCGGTACAGAAAGCGCGCGATATGTGACGTCTTTGGTCCTGGGCTTACTACTGGTCAGAGCCGCTAAGAGCTTCTTTTTAGTCGAAATACGAAATATAACTGGCGCAAACCGTTTCAATTATTTATAAAAGTAGCTTTTGTTCAGTATCTTAGATAAGAAAAGAAACAAATACAGTTTATGAAGTACGGAAACCCGTCGACATGCCCGCCACCAAGTGGTGGAAAAGGCAGTGCATACTAGAAAGGAGTAGTGGGATCAGGCGCCGACACGGAAAGGTCCCGGATGTGCGCAGCAGCGCTGCGGTCGTTTACGGACTGGAGGATCCGACCGACTCTGAGCGTTCCGAAGGCCTTCTGCGAGCAGCTTTGTCTTACGGTTTGGCCGTTTCGCGGTACGGCAGCGTGAAGTGGCTCCCATTCTGAACTGATCTTTACTCCTTGTTCGCTGTCGTTTGTGGCCGATGAAGTGTCATGCCGAATTAGTGTTAGTGCTTTAGTGGCGCCCTCTCGCACCGTCGACACGGAGTGCGGCAGCCGTGAGTGCTCGCTGAGCTCACTACCCCTCTAGTTCACAGCCACTCCAGCGACCAAGGAAGTCATGAAGGGGGTTATTTTTTTGCTTGTTTTTGTAATTTTAATTTGCCTATAACTTTTAAAATAAAGCGAAATTCGAGAAAAGCAAAGTTTCATTAAGTTACTACGTTCAGTGCGCTCAGGTTTGGTGGAAATTAAAAACAAGTAAAGTGCTTGCAGGGCCCCTTTAAGCACCTGGCCACAGTAGTGGCAGTCTGATGGTTCAGGGTCCGGTTTCATCCGTCTGCCATCTTGCAATCTTGTCCCTCGTTCGCCTTGTCCTCTCAAGCACTGTTAGCTAGTTACTCCTGGTTTGTTTGTTCCGCATCTGTTTTACGCTACACATGGTGGGCATAGTTTATTTTGTGCGCGATGCCGGATGTGCAACTACAGACACCGAGAAAGTAGAGGCAGGTGACGTCACCTACAATTGTCATGTCGAACAGCCTAAGGAAAATGGCAAAAATGAAGATGCAGTGATTTCTAAAAATCAACCAGGAAATAAAGGAAAAGCTGCAGTAGCTCTTCTGAACTCTTTACTGGCATCCCTTTGGCATATGCCCCTTTTTTTAGGTATCGTGCCATAAAGAATTTTCGTGGTGCGTTTCAAAAAGTTAATATATTATAAATTTACTAGATAAGTATTGGAAGGAATGCTTGAAGATATCTTTACAGGTCTTTAAAAGTCCTTGAAAACCCTCGAGTTGTTTTTCTTTGAAGCCTGTATGAACCCTGGGTTAATAGAAAACACTATAACTATTAGAAAATATGCAGATGAATGAACAATACTTGATTGAATGGAACAAAGGTAATGAAGCCACCGAAAGACGATCTTTGGCAGAGCCGGGACTCAGAACGTTGCGCTCGCGATGTCTGGTCAGGTATGTTAACCGCTACACCCCTCTGCCTACCCGACCGGATATTTTGGCCCTGCTCTGCCAAAGATTTTGTCTTTCGGTGGTTTCATAAGCTTTGTTACATTCAGTCAAGTAAGGTTCATTCGTCTGCACATTTTTGAATATTTCCTCTTTGGACACCAGTAAGATGAAGTAAAGTTCCTCGTGATATATGAACACACTAAAACCTGTACCCTAAATTAACACCACTGCAGTGAAACGGCTTATTCAACCTGTAAAAAGAGTTGGATTTTTCTTCCTGTGCTTTCGGGTTATTTCACGTTTTCCGGCGAAGTTGGTCGATGCAATGGCTCTTCTGTATAATCTCTAATGGAAGAGTATAGGCAAGTGAAAACTAAATTTCCGATGTGGGAAGCAGCTCGAGGTATCTCGATGCTTCCCGAGACGCAACTTGCCGAGGCTGGCCTACGGCTGGGTCACAAACGATTATCAGAGTTCACTGTGGAGAGCTTTTGGCCGAAAACTGGTTCAGGTTCCCCCACACTGAGGACACATTTTCCGGCAACTTGTTTTGCAGTTGCGTTTGTGGGATGCAAGTGTGTCTTCTGTCGCAGGCTTTCAGACTCTCGAAGCTCTCAAACGGTCCAAATTCTTAGACAAGGCCTTGGGGTGTTAGGAGTGCCAAATCCAGAGCAAATAAATGCAAGTCGTGGACCAATGCGATGAAACAAAGCTGGAACCGTGTCTATTATTTTCATTCATAGTGTTTTATAGCAGTGATACAAGCATCCAAAAATCAGAAAAGTCTAAATGTTTGTCAGAGTTCCCCTTTCCTCTTTTGAAAACACAATGAAAAGGAATTTGACATCTCTCTCTATAAGAAAAAACAATACATCTGTTTAAATTTGTCGGCGAAGCACATTTTGTTTGACCCCTCTTAGTTCCTTTCCTCAGGCTTACTAGCATGTTTCTTCTTATCATAACCGGTACGTCTACATTGTTGCATTTATTTTTACTATCTATAGGTCTTCGTTTTCCGATTAAACCTGATTTTACCTGAAATTTATACGCAAACAAGTTTTGTCATGACCTAGTTTCTTTCTCCTAAGAAAAAAAATGAAATAAAGAGCGCCCTTTTTGTAAGCTGTGCGGGGACATCAAAAGTAAAGGGTACTAACATATAGACGATTTCCAAAGGCACCACCACATTTCAGCTGTGTGTGGTTGTATAAATCACCTCTGCAACCAATTTGGTAGTTTGTTCTTTATTCATATTTATTTTGCTTTGAGCAAAGTAGATAACTAGAAAACTTCTGTGGTGTGAGTATGAAGGGAAAAGAAAGAAATAACAAATTATGTATCGAATTTTGGTCTAAAAATAGAAGCGGTTAATTTCGAACTTCTAACAGTATGCATCTTGTCCATCCGGCTGCTGGGGTTTTGTGGTTTTTTGTTGAGCTTCCCACGTTTGAATGCACTCGCCTCCCCACAGGGTGCTTTGTCGTTGGCTGGTAAATGAGGGTTTCATCGGTTGGAAAAAAAGGTGACGTGACTGCCCATTTGTTGGGAAGGGTGATAGTCTTGGCTGCCTAATTTAAATGACAGCTTTTATGTGTGCCTAGATTTCTATGGAAACAATGGCACGCAAAAGCCCAACAAAATCAACAAAAGTAAAAAAAGTTTGTTGCTCAAACGTGTATTTTTTTTACGCGAGAGTTGGCTGTCTTAGAATTACTCTCGCATTCTTTTCATGAGTCACGTGCGGTGGCGATGCAGAACTCGTTTATTTCAGAGGGAATTAGTTGTGGGCATAGTGAATTCATTAATAAAAGTAGAATTCGTAAATTACGATTTTAATGACCATCGAACACCAAAAAACATTGATGTAAAGGGACGCTCGAGTGCTTTTTGCAGTAGCTTGTTTTTGATGGCATACTGTGTTTATGATGGCATAATAAAAATGCCCAGTTACAGATGTCGAGACATTGTAGTAAACTCTCAGCAATAAAATTACACGGGCGCTATTTTCTCTTCGGCCCCCACCATCTTCTTAAAACTTGACCAATGAAAATTCATTGCAAGGAGATTCCTAACATTACTATTATGGCTCTT